CTTTTCTTCAGGGGCTGCCTTGACCTAGTAACTAAATGAAGAAATAGAAAGGGAAAAAAAAACACAGAATCTCCCATATTAATAATTGGTTATTAATAATTACTTCTCTCATTTCCCCCATTTGATTTTATTATGAGATGCAGGCTCTTCAATGAATCACTAACTGATATGACAAACACTTCATCAAGTTTTTATTTATTCATTCATTCATTCATTTATTTATTTATTTATTTACCTATGGGGCCTATGAGGGGAAATAATGTGTGGGGAAAAAGGAGAGAGATTGATGGATGTATCGACATGACACATTGGTGGCAGTCTTTTTGGTAAGTAGGCCTTATAGATAAAATTCACATAGGAAAAAAGTAAATAGTAAATAAATAAATAAATAAATAAATAAATAAATAAATAAATAAAATTGTCAGTTGCTTAGGTCCATCATATCTTAAGGCTCAGACAACTCATTTTGTACAGCTATCCGGTTCTCTGATGTAGCTCTCTTGTCTGGGTGGGGTCTCAGAGAAATTTCCAGCTTATTGGCTTCTCTGGTTCAAGTCATTTGCAGAGATCTCCTTCTCTGCTAAAAATCTCTTTTAAAAATTGGTTTTAATAGAATATCCAATAAATTACATAGTGTTAGATTTTTGTTATGGGATTCCTACAGGTTATCCTGAAAGGTGGGTGGACACAACTAACCAGTTGCTTATCTGACTTTACTCAGAAACTTAAGTTTCTGAGTAAATAAATTATTTAAATTAAATAAACTCTTTATTAGGAGAGTATGGTCCAATGGTTAGAGACTGATTTTTTTTTTATAGGAATGAGAATATTTTTCTTTACAATTTCTAGTACTTAACTGAAATCAAATCACTTTACTTTAACCTAAGCATGGGGCTAAATCCTGAAATGATGAAATGATGAAAAGGTGAAATCTTAAAATATTGACATCCTAACTCAGTTTCCAATCTGCCACAAAAGCAAACATTCAACGTTGCTTTAAACTGTTAGCAGGTCTAAGATTTTAGGGCTTTTTAGGACTGTAGGACTTCACATTTCACAGATAAGAACACTTTAAGGGGTTCTTTGATATGCTAACTTCACAGAAAATCATTATAACCATCACTTGCATTTCTAAAAAAGTTTTTAATAACATATTTACACCAGCCTTTTAATAATTAAATCCATAACCCAAAAGAATGAAAGAGGAGTAAACTTTTCTTTTGTTTGTCCTATTTAATTCCATTTTTCTACCTTTGTAAATGCCTAAAAGATGGCATAACTTTAGAATTTCAAAGAGTTTATTCAGTTAAAGAATGTTTTATGATTCTTCATAAATACTTTTCTCCCAAAAAGTCTCTTTTTAATTTATCTATTTCTAGTTTTCAACATTCACTTCCACAAGACTTTGAGTTCCAAATTTCCTCCCTAGCTCTCCCTTTCCCCTATCCCAAGACAGTGTGCATTCTGATACAGGCTCTAAATGTACATTCATATAGAATCTATTTTCACATTAGTCACAGAGTTGGGCAAAATAGCTCCTAATTATTGTTTTGATTTCCTCTTCATTAGTGGCGAATTCATCCTTTTCATTTTTGAAACTGGTAATTTGTTTTTTTTCTTTTTTAATCAAATTAACCAAAAGTTTATCTATTTTATTATTTTTTATTAAACCAGCTCTTTGTTTTATTTGTTAGTTCAATAGTTTTCTTAATTTCAATTTTATTACTCTCTTCTTTGGTCTTCAGTATTTCTAATTTGATATTAAATTGGGGATTTTTAATTTGTTCTTTTTCTAGTTTTTTTTAGTTGCATGTCCAATTCATTAATCTCCTCTTTCTCTATTTTATTTATGTAGGCATTTAGAGATATAAAACTTCCTCTAAGAACTGCTTTTGCTGCATCCATATTGTCATTCTCTTGGATGAAGTTATTGATTGTTTCTATGATTTGTTGTTTGACCTATTCATTCTTTAGGATTAGATTATTTAGTTTCCAAATAAGTTTTAGTCTATCTTTCCATGGCCCCTTATTACACATAATTTTTATTGCATCATGATCTGAAAAGGATGCATTTAATATTTCTGCCTTTCTGCATTGGATTGTGAGGTTTTCATTGTCCTAATGCATGGTCAATTTTTGTGTAGGTGTCAAGTACCACTCAGAAAAAAATTCCTTTCTATGCCTTTCAGTTTTCTCTACAGGTTTATCATACCTAACTTTTCTAAAATTCCATTCACTTCCTTAATTTCTATCATTTATTTTGTGGTTTGATTTATCTAGTTTTGAGAGGGGAAGGTTGAGGTCCCCCACTAGAATGGTTTTACTGTCTATTTCTTTCTGTAACTCACTTAACTTCTCCTCTAAGAATATGGATCTTACACCACTTGGTGCATATATGTTTAATATTGTTATTACTTCATTGTCTATGGTACCTTCTAACAAGATGTAGTTTCCTTTCTTATCTCTTTTAATTAGATTTAATTTTGCTTTTGCTTTATGTGAGATCAGGATTGCTACCCCTGATTTTTTTCTTTATTTCAACTGAAGCATAGCATATTCTGCTCCAACCTTTTACCTTTACTCACTCTGCTCCAAATGTGTTTCTTATAAACAATATATTGTGGAATTCTGGTTTTTAATTCACTCTTCTATCTGCTTCTGTTTTATAGGAGAGTTTATCAGCTTCACATTAACAATTATGATTACTAACCCTGTCTTTTTCTCCATCCTGTTCTTCCCTCCACCATTTATACATTTCTCTCTCCTTTCATCCTTTACCTCCTTGCCAGGGTTTTGCTTCTGTCTATCTCCCCCCTCAATCTGCCCTCCCTTTTACCAGGCATTCTCTCTTTTTTCCCCTTTCTCCTTTTATTTTTTCCCTCCCTCTTGCTTTCCCTTCTATCCACCACTTTCTCTTTTCTTTCCT